ATATATATATATACACACACACGTGTGTGTGTGTGTGCACCTACATGTTCATATCCATGTTCATATCTGTAGACATAACTGCCTGGCTTCTCAAGGCTGCTCGCGCCTACTTCACCGAGATGGTCAAGGCGGTGTCGTGATCGTCTGTCCACCTCCAACTTTTCATAAAAATCTTGGAGCGCTAACCCAGTGTTGCAATCGAGCAAGCGCCGTGTGTTCTCCCCCTGTGCCAGAATGGCGTCACCTTCGGCGCGCATCTGTGAGAGCCGACGGTCACGCGTCTGTGGAGCCTGCATGCAACTTAGTCGACACATCGACCTCGGCTGTACTACATGTGCCGGGTAAGGCACGCGGCTCTTCCATGGGTAGGCAATCTGACCACATTGCAGGTAGGTTGGCCGTTTCGAGCCGGCAGGTAGCTTCGTGGCAGCAAGTCTTCCTCGCTCGACACAGCGGCCTACCTTCGAAGTTGTCAAAGCAAAGCAACAGTCACTCCCCTTGTGATTTCTGGAAGAACTCTCAAAAGCCGTGATTCGTGACGGGAAGTGGCTCTTGCAAGCTCCGGCCCGGCCAAAGAATGCCTTGCACGTGGCCTGCAGCGTCCCCGCAGCGGGGTTCAGAGATGTTCAGACACTCGTAGAGTCGGTAGAGTGGGAGTCGGGAGCTATCGGGTTCAGGAAGGAACGGGTTCGATGTTGTCGAGCGGTGCGGCGTCGAAGGGGCACGAGGTTTCGCAGATGCAGCAGAGAAAATCGCGCTCCCGAAGCCATGGCCCACCCCGGCCCGACCCGTGGCCCCGTGTTAAATCCCCGCCCCATTTCGGAGACCCAAGCTCCCGAAACCTCGCGAGGACTCCCGTCAGCAGGCCATGCTCGCGACAGCTGCAGGCACTGACGGTTCTTACAGCAGCTGTAAGCGCAGCAAGGGCTTTTGAGATTCCTTTCTTGTAGCTTGACCGATCTCGCATAATTGACGCCATCGCAACATCCCCTTTAGAAGCCTCCAGAGATCTCCAGAGCTTTAAAACAGGTTGTCCACCCGGGTCACAGGGAAAGGGGGCCGGACCATTGCAAAATGCATTCATCCAGCTGGTCTGTGAAGGTATTGGCATGCCTTTCCTCCCGGCGAACGTTGCGGCAGGGGCCGCAGAGTTGGTTCGAAGCAACGCAAAAGCGTTGCATTCGACGCGTTGGTCACAGTTGCTTTTTGCTTTGAATTCCAAGGGCCTGACTGGAAGCCCATTGGCAGGCCGGCCAACACTCGCTTCCAAGAATGCTGTCTCTGCATAGATCGAAGCTTTTGAAGCTTTGCATGCAGAAAGCTGGTCCACAGCATCAAGTTTGCAGTGTTGTTCTCTGCAAGGTGCTCCGAACTGGGCAGCGGCCATGGTTCTGCCCTCAACTACGTAGTCTCACGGGGGTTCCCGCAGTCCCTCTATTCAGGCATGAACCCGCCAAAGTTTTGTTAAGGGGGTTGCGTAAACTTCGGAGGTGTTTCAGAACGCTTTGGAGACGTGCAACTAGCGCTTGGAGAAGTGCAGCTAGCGCTTTCCGTTCAGTGAATCATTGGTCGGCATGCATTATCCTGTCACAGGTGGGCGGATGCAGTCGTTGCGGGAGTCGCAGGCTACAGAAGCCCCTGTTTTAGTTGGACACCTGCAGGCAGGACAACAAATGCCAATGGCCCCGACGGCAGCAGCTTGCAAAGGACGGTGTCTTGCAGAACCGTGCTGTTGCTTGTGGGTCAGACTGTGCAGGAGCCACTGCGAAGACTTGGAGGGACGGTGCGGCAGGCTGACCGAGTCGGAGTCTTCTTCAGGTTCTGAGCTGTTGAGCTTGCGAGGTAGCCCAGAAGCACAAACACGCAAAGGCAAGTGCCTCAGTGCCTCAGCTCAGTGAAGACAGGCAAGGCAAGGCAAGGCCAGGCAAGGGGAAACCTCCCTCCCCAAGCCTGGGCTCTAAGACTCTAAGGTGGAGGCCCCAAGAAGCGGCAGACCGCAGAAGCCTCAGGCCGGCCCGCGGGACACTGCGACTTCGTCAATGGAAGCTTTGGGCAGCAAGCGTTCTCCACTGAAGAAACGCAGCAAGAATCGCTCGAACCCGTTGAGCAAAGTCAATGCACCAACGTCAACTGCAAGAATTGTGGCAGGTACGTCGCCGGATGCAAATCACTCGGGTGAGACATTGCGTGCGCCATCGGTTCACTGAGTCTCCGAGAAGTCTCTGTGATGAGAACAGTGCAATCATGGGATTGCCGAAGCAGCACGGGATGCGTGATTCTCGGGCAGAAGGTATGCATCTGCGTTCTTTGCTGCACGCACCCGCCTCAGCCTAGCGGCCTCGGCCACCCGGCCGAAGCGGCAAAGTCCCAGCTCCAGCTCTTTTCGGTCCAGGTGGACTCGAACCGCGTCTTGATCGTGCGGAAGATCAACCGCCTAAACCTCAAGAAATCGTGACAGGCTCTGCATCACAGGAGCAAAGCCTGCATCCGACGCTGGCAAGGTCTTGGCTTCTCATCGCCCACAACTCTGAAGGAGCATTTCTCATGGCACGCATCCTACCCAAGTAGCGGGAGCTTTCAGGGCTGACTTGAAAAGCTTCGGCTGCCGCATGGGCCCAGGTATGGAACCGTCGAGAAGGTGCTCGTGGCGCATTCGCGGGTGAAGCTCTGCTCTTACTGTCATGAACATAGGCGCAGAAAGACATGTCGTAAAGTCAACTTATGACTGAAGCTGTGCAGCTCCACTTGTGCCCTGTGATTAGTTAATGGCTACTGGCAGCATCGTGCTGCATCGATGTTAGGTACTGTTTAGGTGCTCCACTTTCCCGACAGTGTCCACGGCGAAGGGATGCGTGAGGTAAGGACTGCAGCTTCAGATTGAAGTCTGCGGTCGTCGGGTGCCACATGGCATGCAAAAAGGGATAGTCGCCAGAACATATTAAGTAGCGGCAGGGCAGCAATCGTAAAGCAAACGCTCATCGTCGTCATAGGCGTGAGGGTAGGAATGGCAGTCTCCGGTACTAGCTGCATGGTGAGGCAAGAACTCACGCAAGGGCTATACTATAGCAGAGGGATCCGGCAATGGTCAACGGACATCTCATGACATAGCAGCAGTCACCAAGGCGGCAGCACCGTCAGTATCGCATTATAATCGTCATCGTTATCACAAGCATCTGAAACAAAGGAAACTATTGTGGGCGAAACAAAACTGCCACGAATGATCACGAATGGTTTCGCTTCAGTTTCAATGCAGATGCACCGTGGGCGCAACGAAACCGTCACTAGTCGCTGCATCTGAAGAGAAGTTAAGCTGCCGCTGAAAGTTCTTGAAGCATCCGTGGGCTTGAGGAAACATCACAAAAATGGTTCGATGCTTTGGAAACATCGTGCGTGCAAGGAAAATGTCAAATAAAGTGCCGCTGCATCCGAAACAACTGTGGCATGATGGGCCCAACGGAACTGAAACGAAAAAGCTCGGCTGCATCTGAAAAACTGGATGCATCGCGGGAGCAACTAGACTGTCGCGAAAAAAGTTCCGTGAAAATGAAAACCCTGGAAGCATTGTGGGCTTCACGAAACGTTCATGAAAAAGATCCGCCTCACACTGAAGATCACTGAAGATCTTCAGACGTGAACAATGCGCACTGTGGACAGCTGGAACCATCGTGTGCGCAAGCAAAGTCTTTCTACATCTGAAGCAACTGGAAACATCGTGGGCGCAACGCAACTGTTACGAAACTGTGCCATCTACTTCGTCTGGCAACACAACTGTCCTAGACGCTGGTGTGCTGCCAGCAGTGTCGTCGTAACGAGGCTGTCGCGGACAATCTCCGGTGTGTTTGGCAGACTCTGGTGCAAAAGTCCCGCATCATCTAAACGACTCGCAAACATCGGGGGCACAACGGAACTGTCACGAACAAGTTGCATAGATACATTCGATATTTCGATACCTCACACAAACAAGTTCAACTTTATCCCAACGAACAAGGAAACATCGCGGGTGCAAAGAAACAGTTGCAAACAACATGCCAACGCATCTCGGAGGGGTGGCATCAGCATCAGCATCGATTGTAATAGCACTAGATGCGAGGACCGCGAGGCGGAGCACCTACTACTCGGATCAGTCATTGAAGCGGAGGGTTGAACACTTTGTTACTAAGGTCTGGTGGGGGACAAGCTGGGATGGTTTCGAGACTCCGGCCGCCACTGGCTCAGAAAGGCAATCATGTTTGTGCAGCTTATGCTAGTTACCATTCTGAGCCCTGCCGGGCGTGGTCAACTCTGCCGAGTTGCTGCTGAGGTCTGGTTTGGGATTCGTCGTGATGTCGGCCCAACCTGTTGTCACCCATGCTGCGAGTGGCGAAGTCGCTGAGGTCGAGGGCTGGGGTCGAGCTGCCAGGAGCCGCATGGAAGAAGCGGAGGTGATCCTTGCCCAGGGAACCGAGCAGCAGGTCTGTGGCTAGGGCCTCACCGCTTCACATCGCTTCACGGCTTCTGCCTTCGGCAGGACTGCAGTCTAGGCTCTGCCGACAGTCAGAGCTGATGCATTCCTTCCGCACTACCACGCTCGTGTTGTTTCTGTCGCCTGCTGCTCCGCTCGCTACGTCTGTGAAACTTCTGGTGGGATGCCTTCATGTTCACGTGCCTTTGGATGTGTGGACGTACTAGATTTCTATACTAGGCTGTCGTGTAGTTACAAGACACTGCCGAGGGACCGTGATCCGTGTGCAGAAATTCGAACGCCGAATGAGCGAATCTGGAGAAGCTCAGGCGCGGCGGGGGGGGGAGGGTGTGTGGGTTCTGGCCGAAACAGAAGCCTGCTGCGTCATTTGGAAAGCCGTCACTCCAAAGCCTCGAGTCACTGTCAGCTTCCTTGCTGCTGCCAGTAGTCTCTCAATGCGAAATGCTAACGCCTCGACTCGAGCCTGTTCAGTGCCAGGATGATGATGAGGAGGAGGAGGAGCTTGATGTCAAGAAGGTCCGGTGCGGTCTTAGTGTGGCTTGCAGAGTTTACTGCATCCTGACTTGTCAAGCCCAAGCTGGAGGGAAGGATGCACTCAGACAGTGAGACGGCTTGCGAGCTGGGAGTATAAACCATCTATTCAAGCATGCTCATGTTCCGTATTTCTGACTGTACCCTCGTCAGAGCATTTGAGACTCGAGGGCCTCACTGTTATCTTTGCCTTTCCGTACATCCGGGGTGCTCCAAGTACGCGGACGACAGTCTTCCAAAGCGGCGTCGAGCAATTGGCGGAAGCCCATG